GGAGGTTTTCTCCCTTCCCTGTGGCGTTAAGTCTTGCAGCTCCTTGCTCATCAGTATGTGATACCTGGTGCTTAATTCCCATTCTCTGTCTCACCCTCCCTTCCTTCCATAAAGAGCAGATAGCTCGTTTTCTCTCCCCAACCCACTCCCCCACCCCAGGCATCTCTGTCCACACTGTGCTTGTTCCCTGCTGAGTAGCTGTGAAGACTCACCAGTTTTCAGAGAACACCATTTTTCTTTCTTTTTTTTTTCTTTTCTTTTTGTTTTTGGAGACATAGCCTCGCTTTGTAGCCCAGGCTGGAGTGCAGTGGTACAATCTCGGCTCACTGCAACCTCCACCTCCCAGATTCAAGTGATTCTCCTGCCTCAGCCTCCCCAGTAGCTGGGACTACAGGTGCGTGCTACCACACCTGGCTAATTTTTGTATTTTTAGTAGAGATGGGGTTTCACCATGTTGGCCACACTGGTCTTGAACTCCTGACTTCAGGTGATCTGCCCACTTTGGCCTCCCAGAGTGCTGAGATTACATTCGTGAGCTACCGTGCCCAGCCAAGAAATGGCGTTTTTCTTTACTTCTCCATCTTTCCACCTTAAATACCCCAGAACAGTAACCCAGTCTTCTCTCTTGACCTAGAAGTTTTCTCCTTTGTTCCTCGCTCCCCTTAGCTTCAGCCTCTACTTACCCCATGCTTACATTCTCTCTCTCTAAGGAACTGAGCCTAGGAGAAGACAGCCTCCTGTATCGCCTCTCCACATCTCACTTTCAGTTTTCCTTTCTGCTTGGTTCTTTGCGTGTGGACTTGATTAGAGTGATAACTGGAGCCCTGAAGCTAAAGGTTTCAGTTCCTGCTGCCGTGGTAAGCTGCCTCCGGCAGTCTTCAGGGGAAGGGAAAGGGGCTTTCTTTCAGCTCTTCCCTGACCTAAAGCCCCAGTTTTCTTTCCCAAGCTGATTGAAATGATTTGTATCTGATATTTTGTCAATTAACTTGGGAATTCTTGACAGTCGCCTACACAGTGAATCTCCCTCCAGAAAGGCCAGGACTGTGACTGAGAAGGTACACCGCAGAGGTCCGTGGGCTCCCCAGGGTGTTCCCTGGCTGGCAGCCCTTTTAGTCGCCTCTAGCCCCAGTCCAGCCCCACGTGCTATTGCAGCCCAGGAAGGGAGCCTCTCCCACCCAGCTCTTTCTCCTCTGGAGGATCCAGAGTTTGCCCCCAGAGCTGCGATACACATGCCACTTACATTCTCTGTTTTTCATTGATACAGAGTGGAAAAATGTGCTCACGAGCAGAGTTACTGTGGGATGATGTCACAGACTTCATCTGGAGTCCTTCCTCTCCAAGCAGGGAGTCCAGCTTTAACCCCTGTCTTACCAGGAAGTCCTCCTAGACCAGGCAAAGCTCATCTTGGAATCAGCCTAGGCGGTGATTTGAAAGGCTTCTTCCATTATGAAGTCTCTTATTAACCATGTTTAAACTGTTCTGTGGTGTTCTTTCCCTGACTCAAGTACTGGAGGCTTTGTCTAGGAGAATGTTCCCGTAAGTCTCCTACAGAACTCCGGCATCAGGAGAGCTGTGGTCCTCTTCCCAGTGGGCCTGTCCCCCACGTTAAAGCAGAATGCTTTTGTAGACAGGCCAGTGAGTTACAGACAGGTTTCTCTGTGCCTCTGGGCAAGCCCTGGACATTCTGCCTCTCAGTTTCTCCATCTCCTAAAGAGCTCAAACTTCGCCCTTCTCACTCCCATAGTACACTTTACACAGCTTTGACCATCCTCCCTGCTGCTTGGATTGCAAAGGACAGAGGACACTTTTCCAAGACAGACAACCTTGCTCTCTCCAAGCAGGTAGAATCCTTTTCAGGCCTGTTAACACGAGGTCAGAGACCCCAGTGGATCACAGCCTTTTGCATATCAGCCAGAAGTGTCCTTGTCCTAGAGGAGGAACTAATGGCTATGGCAGACACAATCCCCAAGGAAACCAACTTCCTTCTGAATGGGTGGAAGTGAAAACCAGGAGAGGGCTACTCCTCGTTGCTTGTGTGTCCGTGGAATAGACAATTCCCACTGACCCTGTAAGGATGTGCTGCAGGCGGCCTCAGGATGTCCACATCCCTGGGTCCTGCTGTGCCCTGGAAATCCCCATCTCCAGGAGTCCCACGTCCACACATGTGGCTTTTCTCCCTCTCAGCCAGTAACCACGCTTTCTTAGCCACTCAGCGTACCACGTAGCCCATGCTCCAGCGGCAGCAACGCTCCTGCCCGCCTGTCTGTGCATGCACCTGTGGCACACTTCTGTCCTGGGCAGGTTTCCTCTGCGCACTGAGCAGGGGTGCCATTGTACCTCTCATTGTCCAGGTGAGGCCAAGGACCATTGTAAGCTTTTCCTCTGTCCTCTTCTCACCCCTTAGCTCCCCTCTCCTCTCCATTCAGTGGCAGCAGCCTCACACCGAAAAGGAAAGTCCTGGACCCGTTACATAATTCTCCATAGTGCAAGCAGTAGCTGGGGCATAAGGTCAGAGGTCGTGGTGGGGTCAGGTGGCTGACACACACTGTAACGACAAGGTGGTTAAAATTAGACCACAGAGAGGAAACTGGCAGTCTTGTGGAAATGCAGAAGTTTCCTATGCAAGTGAGAGGCTGGAGATGCAGGGAGCCACTGTGCGTGCTGCCTGCCAGGCTATTACTCATTTCGGCTCTGTTCTTTAATGCCTTTTAGCCCCTGCTTCTGTATTTCTAGCCTTCCTCATCACATGTTTGAATACACGCAATGGAACCATGGTTACCTGCCCTGGGCCAAAACAAGCTTTCCTTCTCCTTCACGGAGGTAAGCCCAGGACCGGGCACCCCAAGCTCAAGGGGCCGAACTTTTTCTATGCCCTTCTGGGAGGCCGAGAACCTTTTACGTCAACCTCTCAGGTGAAGGTGGTCAGAGTACTTAGCTTGAGATTCCAGCCTATAATGGTAACAGGGCCAATAGTGAGAGAAAGCAGAGAACACCCCTAGACGGGGTAGGAAAGCGGGGTTGGCTTTTGGTGAAGGTGGCAGAGGATGCAGCCACGGAGCACACAGTTGACTGGCGTGTGCCGCAGTTGCCTGGGCAGCCAGCCTGCAGAGCGGTGCTCATTTATTTCCACTGTCTTAGAGAACATGGGTCATGCCTGCTTCATCTGCTGTCTGTGGTACCCAGCTGAGCTTCTCTGTGCTGTCTGTCTTTACTGTGAGTCTACTGTGTGCACAGCTTGTCCTTACAATTCTTGCCAGTGACGTACAAAAACGATGAGATTTAGGCGGCTTTGCCACCAGATGGGTTGCTGTCCACATGAGAGAGAGCACCTGCACCTGTAGAGTGATGACCAGTTGTCTCCAGATTAGCACTTCTTTTTTTTTTATTTTTTTTTTTGAGACAGAGTCCAGCCCAGGCTGGAGTGCGGTGGCCGGATCTCAGCTCACTGCAAGCTCCGCCTCCCGGGTTCACGCCATTCTCCTGCCTCAGTCTCCCGAGTAGCTGGGACTACAGGCGCCGCCACCTCGCCCGGCTAGTTTTTTGTATTTTTAAGTAGAGACGGGGTTTCACTGTGTTAGCCAGGATGGTCTCGATCTCCTGACCTCG